ACTTCATCTCGGTTCCGGCACCGGGCCTGTGCTGCGACCCGGGGTGCTGGGGAAGCGGGTCTGGGGAAGAGCCGCGGGGGAGGCCGCCTCAGCCGCGGGGAACCCATGGAAGGCTGGAGCGGGATTCTGACCAGGCCGGGCGGCCGTGTCTCCCCTTGGCACCCCTGGGTCGAGGATTGTGGCCGTGCCTGGGTCTGGCCTGTGCTGCGAACGAGTCTTAGAGGAGCGCAGATTGCTGTCCTAGGGCCTGCTTGGCCCGGCACTTGTCGGTCTCCTCGGTCTGTTCCTCTGAATACTTCCTAAATTCACTTTTTTCAGCCAGATTCGGCATTCGAGCGTCTCTTTCGCTGAAAAGCAGTAAAACAAGCACTCCACTTACGGGGATGTTGTAGCGTGTGTTTACGCGTAGAGGTGTACATGGACAGCCTGAAGGACGAACGCCGGGATTGCACACCTAACCTGTGTCCGTGTCAGACGAGGTTAAATGTGGGTTTAAAATGGGGCTGCAGGAATATTTCTTTCCAGGAATATTTCAATTAGTCATACTTACTGAATTGGCTTTAAAATGTTATTTAATCAAGCTGGAGTTGTATTTAATGGTTTCAGTATAATATCATTTTCTGAACTTTGCTAGGCATTGTTCATGGCTTAAACTTACAGATCTATGTTATCATTAATATTGCACTTTGTGTAATGTCATGTGTAAGTTTCCCTCTTTATTTTTTTCCTTCTAATCAGGATGTAATTAGCTACCATATACTTTAATTGCATAGAACATCCCACCAAGGTCAGCAATGCTATTTAGTGTTTCTCATTACAGGAAAATTTCACTTCCTTCTAATTACATGAGTCCTGTAAGGAGTCAAGAGCTATTTCTACGCTCTGCCTTTGACGTCCCCTCAGTGTTTTCACGGAAGAGCTATTTCAGGCTTGTACCATACCTGCACCCTTTTTCCAGTGTTAACCATCTGTCATTAGAAAAGAAAGATTATCGGCAGATTCTCAGCTAGAGGCCAGCTATCACAGAAAGGTGGTTGTGCTGCACATAATCAAACCTTTCATCATTATATCAACTGTATCCCCATCTGTCAGTCTTTAAAATTTGGTAGCTTCCTTTACTTGGACTGTAAGATCTGAAAATATGCTTGGATTTTCTTGAGTTTTCATCCAAAAAAGCCTCTCCTTGAATAGAGCCTTGCAGTCCTACTCAGTCTTGCAGTTATAGGTCTAAATTAGGTCAGAGAAAGACAGCGTGACCTCCCAAGCTGTTTTCTGCCTGTGCTTTTACAGCTGTTAGAAAGTGGTTCTGAACACTTAAGAAAACTGAAAATCTTTTAATCAAGTGAGGAACCTTCAAACTGAGTAGCTCCATCTTCAGTAGCTTTCTGTTTCTTCCATAGACAGCTGATAGCACCTTCTTTGAGTATGTCATAACCTGATACTTCTAACAGTGTTGAATTCCTTCTTTCCTTTCAGGCCCCAGTTTCCAGTCTGTTTCTTTGGCTTCCACTTTCTCCAGTTTGCTAATAAGAAATTTTCCCTCTTGTAGCATCTGGAGCATTGATTTCTAGAACTAGTTTTCAGACGTTCTCATGAAAGGAATGTGAAAACTGCGTTTCAGATCACCTCTCTCTTCGCTGCTGCTGCAGACTTGCCCTTCAGAGTACCGGGAATGTTTTCAAGGGACTGGAAATGCTTTAGGCAGGTCATAGAAGTTGTTCCATAATCCTCTGCACCCGCCAGCTGCTCTAGGACTGTTTCTATAACAACAGCAATGCTATCTGCACCTCCTGCAATTTTTTATCTACTTTGCAATGAACTCTTACATTGAATGTCACTGCTAAGCTTTACCCCTTCCCGAATGAGGGGGTCTCGGTACCACCCTGCCAGTAGCTGGCATTCACCAGACCCCTTGGTGGGCTGAGCAGAAGTGAGACAGCAGAATACAAACTACAGAAATCCTAAGGGCTTTTTGTGTTTTGTTTGTTTGATTTTTGTTGTTCAGCTGAAGGGTGCACTGACAGTAACTCCAATTTAGATTACTTTAGGCTAAACTGGATCTTTTCTTGAAGAGAAATCCCACTGCTAGCCACTAAATCAAATCCATTGAAACTTCAAAGCCAGACTGAGAAAAAAAAGTAGGTCTGTTGGACTGTGTATCAGAAGACACAGGTGTAAATTGTAGAATAATTTTAGTGGTGTACAAAATTGTTATCCCCTAGCTCTGATGCAGCCAGTCATCTCCTGACCAGTTAAGCCAGCAGCTTTTAATTCCCTCCTGGTTCTGGTGCTTATGTGACCACAAAGTCAGTTCAACTGGCTAATCTGGCAAAAAACCACAGTTTTAAAAACGGTGCTAAAAGATTTCTGCTTTTTCAGTGATTTTAATGGGTTTAATTGGGTGATCTTGTGCGCGCCAGCAGTAACACCTAGGAAGCAGCAGCTTGTGGCCAGGGGCGCTGAGGAGATGGAAGGGAGGCAGGTCTTGTCCTTCCCTCACAGTGTCTGGTGGTGAGGATTAGATGCTGCAGAACACATTATCTGGCTTTCCGTAATTTAAATGTGTTGTAATTTGAAACAAATCAAAGACCAGTTTCTTATTTCAAGTGAAAGAATATCAGTGATCTAAAGGGAACTATGCAGTTGCTAAAAATTTCAAATTTTAAAATAATTAAGAAACCTATTTTAGCACCATTTCACTGGCACATATTAATTACCCATTTTTTGTAGCAGGAAATCCAGGAGAGCATAGTTCTGCTCAGCCCTACTGTTTACACTTGCAGTGAAAGGCTTCTGGCAGATGCAGTGGTAAAAGCCCTTCAGTTAGGGGTATAAAAACTAACTTTTATGACTCTGGTGGCAGGTGCACTTGTCCTTGTTTCTCTTCCATCATAACTACATAGAAATTTAAATATACTACACCAAGCCAGTAAACCTAAACAGTGTTCCCAGCAGCCAGCATGTGTCCCTTAGGTACCTGCCGGAAAGCAAATATCATCTGTAGTTCCAAGACTGCTGCCGGACAGAAAGTGCTAGTGTTGCTTACTGGCTCACCCCCAGCTGCAGCCCAGCAGACCACAGGGTCTTTCAGACAGTTTGTTACCTCATGCTAAGTAGTTGGTTTTTGTTTTATTGTCGTTATCTTGCTGCAGAGACAGAATTGTCAGGTTTATTTTCAAGTGTTAAATGTGAGTACCTCAGGACTGGAGGAAAGTGGTTCTAAATATATTCTTAGCAAACAGAAGTCCCTAAATGAGTTTGACAGTTCAGGATTAAAGTGTAACTTGTTTCACAGATTTGGATTAAGGCAGTTTCCATGGCTGACTTAAGGCACTGGAATGGTGGACAGGACCAAAAGAGAGTGCTGTGCTGAGGGTGGCAGTTAGACAAGAATTGCAAAGAAGCACTGAGTAGGTGAGGTTAGAAGGGGTGGGAAAGCAGTAACAAATGAAGTCTCCCTTAAGGAATATGTCTAATGGTTGCACAGTGACATCTTTTGATGTCCCCTTTTGTTTTGTTAGGTTGTTGCTGACAGCGAAAGACGTCTTCTCAAAGCTGTTTAAATGAGAATGTCCCTGGCGCAAAGGGTACTACTGACATGGCTCTTCACGTTACTCTTCCTGATCATGCTGGTGCTGAAGTTGGATGAGAAGGCACCATGGAACTGGTTCCTCATTTTTATTCCAGTCTGGATATTTGATACCATTCTGATAGTTATGTTAATTGTAAAAATGGCCGGGCGTTGCAAGTCCGGCTTCGACCCTCGCAATGGCTCCCAAAACATCAAGAAAAAAGCTTGGTATCTCATTGCGATGCTCCTTAAATTGGCCTTCTGCCTTGCCCTCTGCGCTAAGCTGCAGCGATTTACGACCATGAAACTGGCCTATGTGTTTATCCCTCTGTGGGCTTTGCTTATTGGGGGTATGGTTGAACTTGGATATAATATCTTCTACGTACGAAGAGACTAAATTATACCATGTGGCTTCCAACACAGAGATTGATGCCACGTGACTGGATTATCAGTGTTGCCACAAACTCGATCTTCAACTTAGAACATCAAGAAACCCATCAAGGTGGAGACCTTATCTAAACCAGGGTGAAGACTGAAAGTAGACTTGTTCCATTTTTTTAATTTTAGAAGGGTCACATACGCTCTTGTAAATAAAAGTATTTGTTCAACATAAGCTGTTCTGATTGCTGCTGTTGGTTACGTGGAGCAAGAAGCACGCTCTTCACATACAGGTAAATGATCTTCTCAAAGAAGCCACAAATGCTCTGTCTCAGAGTATTCAGCACATGGGCTAATCCTTGAAATGAGGACTTGAGGCTTCTACTACTTATGCAGTCACTCAAGAAATAACCAGTTAGCAGTAGTTTCTGTAATAACATGCTACACCTGCCTCAAGAGTCAGGAACAAGTGATAGCTGCCAAATAGGAGTGAATAAAGTGATTCAGCATTTTCATTTTTGACACTGAGAATCCACTTCCAGGCTGAAAGACACAAACTAAACACCTTTAAGCTGCTGCAGCAGACAAAACAAGTATGTAAACCTCAGAAGGAAAAAAGGGTGCCAGGAGTCCAAGATCTATAGCAGAGAGAGACTGGTGATTACCCTTCCAGCTGAGATGGCCCCAGAGCTGTGAAGGACTGAAGCTGGGGGTGTCTGTAATGCAGGAAGTGCTACTTCAACAAGGAAGAGGTTTTTTAATGCCCTAGTACATTAAATCCAGGGGTAAAGCCTTGGCTTTATGGAGTACTGGCATGCTCTGATGTGAGCACATGAGCTTCCTCATGTGACAAGAGGTAATGAATGGGACTCCTGGGAAGAACTGGAACCACAACAGTATTTTGTGGAGCTAAAGTAACACCAAATTTAGAAGTTGTCTAGGAGATTCTTAATGTGCATGCTGAAGGTGTTGAGCCATTTACAGCTCCACTGTACACAAGAACATCTAGAGAATGAAGAGCCTAGGAAAACCAGGCACAGTAACAGGAGGTGACTAGATCAGTGTCTCCCAAATGAAATTGATTATGTACACACAAGTGTACTTGTTCAGAAAAAAAAAAATTGGAGTGTTTGGATTTATGTTTGCTGTTCAGTCACAGCTGTGGGCGTGAACACATCAGAACCCCATTGCTGGAGGCAGCTGAAAGGGCTTTATCTCAAGAAAAGAACCTGTTCCCTTCTAAGTCCCTGAGTCTCAGTTCAGAACACCCGGTAACAAATGATCTTTAGAAAGAGTTTAAATCATGTTTGCGGCAGTGGGTGACTGTCCTGCCTTACTAAAGGAGAAACCAAGGAATGACAACACTTAAAACAGAAAAACCTTCCTATTCATCAGCTGCTGTTAACAAACCTGCAAAGTATTTATAACCCCCTCATAAAGTAGCACATCAACTTCCATTCAGTAAGTCCATGTACCCAGCCCCAGTCTATAAACATCACATGATTTATGGGAAGCTGAAACTACCCCAAGAAGTCTTTTCCCTTCAGTGCCCATCAGTTCTTTCTGGGAAGGTGGGTCTATGCCCACTTAGTTCTGAAAAATACTTGATGGAAGGACCCTGCTGTGCCTGTGAGACACTCCGCCTGCTCATACGAGCTTCCTGTGAAGAACTGGTTTCCTGCACTGAATGAGTGATTTTTCAAGTTAAAATGGCAGTTGAGATTAGGATTAACTGTGGAGAAGGTGGAAGAGTATTCATCTCCATACATGCTCCTGGGCCAGGCGAGCATTGGAGACGCAAGAGCAAGCACGCACACATATGTGCCGTGCGTCAGTAGGTGTGTCTGTGGATGGGCAGGGAATGGAGAAAATGCTTAACTTGTACACCCGATTTAGGTCTCAAGCAATTCTTCAGTTCTGTCAAATGGAAACGATCATCACTGAGCTTCCTAGGATGCAATATTCCAGGTAAGTCCCATGGCAGGCAAACCAGACCTCAACTGGAATTTTTATTGGATGCTTTGAAAATCTATGAAGAAAGAGGGCTTAAACACTTGCCTCCAATTAAGGGACATGTTTGCAAACCACTTAAAACACTGATGCAAATACATGTCTAAAGTGCTTAAATGCTTGTGAAAACACACACATGCACTCATCTCTGGTATGTTATGGCACCAGGCAGGAAACTGAGTACACAGTCCCTCCTCATCTGATGAGTATCACAGAGCAAAAAGCAAAAAAGCCATGTAGAGAGGACACTGAAACCCCCCCAGTTCTGCTCAGAAGAGCAGAGCAGCTTGCCTCACTCAAGCTGCTGCTGTCAACCGATCGTGTAACTTCACAAACGATGGAGGAGTAAGAACTACCCTCATTAGGGCTGGGTATGTTATTAGCAAGATGGGCACAAATGGTGACTGCCCCCTTAATGATCCCCTTCTATTCCACAGATGTTACAATTATCTGGAAGTTTGGCATCTCTAATTAACTAGAATGGAACACAGTTGTTCCACATCTCCCTTTAATTGCTGCCTCCAGTTCAACAGAAAAAGATGAACAATTTCAGTGGGTTTGTTGTGGCTCTGGCTTTTTTTTTTCTTTTATATAAAGGTTTACAAACCTTGAAATAAATGACCATGGCTTTGAAAGCTGAAGCAGATGTTTCTTTCTGGTGTCCTACAGAAGTCATACACCAACTGATTTCCTTCAGCACAAAACGGTTTTTGGACACAGACATTTGGATGTGCTCAACTTTTTTTGCAAGTTCCTAGTCCTCCGTGAGATACTAAGTCAAAAGAGATATTCCTCTTGCCAAAGTATCTCGGTACCAGATTTAACTGACCTAAACTCTGCTGACACCTTTGCACATGCAGGCTCGCTTTTTTGCCTTGTTAGAACTTCATTCTAAAGGATTTGCGACACACCGTAGGCTGTAGCCACTGTGCCCTTCTGCAGAAGCCGCTGCAGGAACTGCCCCTACTCGCAACTACCCTGCGCTCAGAGGCACCACTCAGAGCTTTGAAGGGGAAGGAGTTCTCACACCTCTTAAGTTTTCAGACTGATGGACTGATCTTCATTATATAGAAGAAAATGAGTGAAAAGCAGATTTCAGGAAGTCTGCAGGGAAAGGGGACACTGATAAGACAGTTCATACTAGTTTGCAAGAAACAGGCAGAAGGAAATGACAATCCAAGGATGCAGCGCTCTGGAGAACACCTTGTCTCAGTTACCTGCAGCAGCTAATGCCAGGTTAAATTTTCAGTTGCCTATTCATATTCACCTTTTCTTGATTTGTCACCATTTTAGGCTAGGATCCAGTTTTCCATTCTTTTTATACATGAAAAAACCCACATTTGTGTGACATAGGCATCCCCACCTTCAACAAACTTTAACTGGAATGCTCCGGAACACGTGCACATGCACCCCAAGTGCCTTGCTAGGCGTGGGGTACAACAACAAAAAAAAGCTGGCACAGGACTAAGTTACACAACTATTTAAGAGTTATTACTCTCTGATGTATATGCGTAGTAGTACAGAAACAAAGTCTTAGAAGTAACCTCGTGGAAATTTTCACATCTGCCCAGTTTAAAAATTGGAGACACAAAGGTATTGATGAATGTGAAATTTATGAGACTCCCAGAAACTCAGAATTTGAGCCATCTTAGATGTCAGCTATTGTAACAGCATTGTATTTTGGGAACAAACAACATTGCTTTCCAATAATAAAGCTCCTGAATAAATGCACCCTCAAAAGTAAGTTCTTGGAATTTATTGGCACAGAAAGCATAGCACTATTATGTAACACATCACACTTTTTAAATTAAGATTGAGGTAAAATAGTAAGATAACTACACTGAGTTAGAAAAAGCGTTTGCACCTTTTCATTGTACCTTTAGTGTTTGAATGTTTGGATGGAGTCAGCCTCCCATAGGAGCCTTTTAGACCTTTTAGAACAGGCGTGGGTATCGGCTTGGTGCTGAAAACATCAGGCTTTGTGGCCTAAGGCGATTCAAGTGGAGTCAGTCTCCCATAGGAGCCTTTTAGACCTGAACAGGCGTGGGTATCGGCTTGGTGCTGAAAACATCAGGCTTTGTGGCCTAAGGTGATTCAAGGAGTCCCGGCAGCTGCACCACTAGAGTACCATCCAGTGTTCATTCCACATTTTCTCCTTGCACTAAAGTTGGATAAAGAACAGAAAAACCTGCAACCCAGTAACACTATTTCCTTGTCTGCCTTCTCAACAAAGCCAACATCGCAGGCAGGCAAATGGAATAAAAGTCTTCACAGAGCTCAGAACGACAGCGTAAGAGCAAGAAACAGGGAAGAAATGAGAACCCAAGCTCAGTTTATCTGCGTTAATTTTTCTCTCAGCATTCCTTTTAAGTTTATAAAGAAATGACTGCTAAAAGATGGTTTTTAGTCTAAAAATTTCATTTCTGACATGAACAAAATCTCTCAGCTGTATCGACCAGAGAAGTACCCGAGTCTTGCGTGCTTGGGATACACCTTGATCAGTCCTGACTCATGTTAGATTAGTCTTCCACACGCAGTTCTAATTGTCAAGGTTTTCTTTTTGAGACACTCCAGGGACTAGGTCTCTCAGCTAAGTGACCCATTTCTTCAATACAACCAGATAAAAAACTGCCGTAAAACCCCACAGTCCTTAAAACACAGGCCTAAGCCCGAACAAACACTGCCTTTCCATTCAACTGGGCTGGAAATTCATTGGTAAAAGAAAACAGTGTCAAAATAGCTATTGAAAAATCAAACTTGCTAAAAATAGAAGTTTAAACTCCTGTTTTAATCAATGTTTGTATCATATTATCATAACTGTACACCAAAGATTAAAGGACTACTTAGGACTAATGCCCTCTTCAGTAGGCTCACCTATCAGCATGACCAGAACATGAGAGTATCAACGTTCAGCTGGCACTCAAGTACAGCACAGCTCCAAAGCAGAGGAAATATTAGCATCAAAGCACAGAGAAAAACAGTGGTTGGAATATAATACACTAAATTTGC